AGGGGCCGCCGCGAGGGGGCGGGGGGCGGGGGGCGGGGGGCGGGGGAGGGGGTGGGACAAGAGGTTAGGCGAAGGCTGGGACATGATGACAGGCCGATTGCAGGGGGGGAGGTCGAAGTGAGGGGGTGCTTACGCGTCTCGCAGGAGGCCGCCTCATGCCCCCAACCGGTTGCGGCCCAGAAGGCCCGGTTCGGCCGGTGGAAGGACCCCACGAAGTGCAACTGGTCCACCAGGACCGAGTCATCGGTCAGGTCGCTGGTCAGCTCGGCCTCGATGGGCGACTGGTGACTGCTGCTCGGGCCGCGAGGGGAGGGCACAGAGGAGGAGGGTTAGCCCGGGATCCGGGGGTGGGGGGCCACCGCACATGTGGCCGAGTGGGGCATGTTCAGGGGGGGGGGGGGACAGAGCCGAGCGCTACCTCTCCTGCGACAGGGCAATGTGCGCCAGGGTCCGTGCACGCCGCGACACCGCCAAATCAAGGTACTGCGAGGAGAGCCCCGGTGATCCGGGGCACGAACTGATCGCCGAGGAGGTAACCGACCCGGGGCCCTCGGCCGGCGGCCAAAGCCCCGTGTCCAGGGGGCCCTCGGCCGGCGGGACCTCCGGGACCACCCGGCACCCGGATAGGACCACCGGGCGGGTGAAGTCGAAGCGTGGCGCGTGGGCTGGGGGGGGGGGGGGGGCACCCACCCGTGCGAATAGGCCCCCCGGCGGAGGGAGCAAGGGACCAGAGGGGGGGGGGGTGAGCCACACCGAGCGAGGGGCCACAGCCAGGGCAAGCACGCCAGCGTACCGGGGTCCAAATTCGGAATCGCCGACAGAGCCAGCGTGCGGAGTATGACATTCGACCGGTCGGAGAGGACCGTCTCACCGAAAACCAAGACCTGCCGTAGGGCGAGGGGGGAGAAGATGTCAGTGCATCAGGCGGCCCGGCCGGAAGTGTGCCCAAATGCCGAGCCGAGAGCAGGGGCGAGAGGGAGATAGGGATGGAGAGAGGACGACTGGTCGGGGCGGCAGCGAAGAAACAGCAACGGTGGCGGCGCACCAGCACATAGTGGATGGACATGGTCCGGGGCCGCCCGGGGGCGTTGGCAATCTCCCGGAGCTGCTTGTACTCGGAGGTGTCGCCATTGCGCGAGAGGACGGTCCGATCGGAGGGCGTCGTGAGCCCGGTCCCGGGGGCGGGTGTGTCGCCGAATGCCGGCCCAGGTACGGGGGAGGGATGCTGGTCGGCCAGGTCGCTTAGCTGTCGGGTGGGTGCCGAGAGCGGCGGCGGGAAGTACCCGAGCAAGGACCCTGGTGTCGAGGGAGGGAGCGACTCGGGCAGCGGACCCGCAAAGATGACTGTCGGTGGGGCGGGGGGGGGGGGGGGGGAATGGGTTGGGGGGGGGTTGGGGGGGGGTGGGGGGGGGGGGGGGGGGGGGGGGGGGGGGGGGGGGGGGGGGGGGGGGGGGGGGGGGGGGGGGGGGGGGGGGGGGGGGGGGGGGGGGGGGGGGGGGGGGGGGGGGGGGGGGGGGGGGGGGGGGGGGGGGGGGGGGGGGGGGGGGGGGGGGGGGGGGGGGGGGGGGGGGGGGGGGGGGGGGGGGGGGGGGGGGGGGGGTGTAATCGTATGCAGTGGTGTATGTGTGTGTATGTGTGTGTGTGTGTGTGAGAGAGAGAGAGAGAGACCGAGCGAGAAGCCATGAGAAAGTAGACAAGAGGAAGATGTCATGCGCGCAGGGGGAGGGGAGGGAAAAGACGCACAGTGGCAGTCTTGCTGGGGCGAAACCGGGCCGGTGGGAATCACAACGGGCGGGCTGGCTGCAAAGCACACTTGACCAACGCCTAGACCGGGAGAAGGGGAGGAAGGGCAAGGATCGGTGGTGGGTCAGCGGGAGCCGGAGTCCAGGCGCAGGTGGGCAGGGAGCGGCAACGCACGCCGGCTCTGTGCTGGCTGGTCCGAGTGGGCCGGTGTGAGAGAACGAGGGAAGGGCAGGCCGACGAAGGTGGTCTCCGAGTGGACCTGTACACGTGCCCATGACCAGTCCAATACAGGAGTAGCCCCCGGCCGAGGGGAGGGAATGGGGGAGGTCGGGAAGCGAGGACGGGAGGCCGGTCAGTCGGGATGCTTTGGGCACCATCGGAAGAGGGACCATGTGGGAGGCGCACGCTGCGGTCAAACTGGACAATTCCAACGAACTGTGCTGTGCATTGAAGCAGGCGATCGGCATTCTGGAGAGTCGCCCAAGTGGGGATGGGCAATGTCCGACATGCGGAAGTTGGTCATGAGCTTGCAAACATCAGTGGCGGAAGAAGAGCGAAGCACTTAGGGCAGAGACGGAGGCGCAGACGCAGGGAGCGAAAGAGAGAGAGAGAGAGAGAGAGAGGGGGGGGGGGAGAGGGGAAGGGAGAGACATACCAAGGAGATCTGCACAGCCAGAGGGCCGCCGGGAGAGCAGATGTAGCCCGGGGCATGGCGGATTCGCACCCTGGACATGCTGCGATGGGAGACGAACCAAGACGAAGAAGCGAAGGCGACGGCCGAGTGGGGGCGAAGGTGGAGGGAAAGAAGCCGCAAAAAAGAAATGTTCAAGGAGCTGGCTAGCCTGCCCGCCTTCCGGGCGGACGCGACCCGGCGGCTGAACAACTGGGCCTCCGGACCTGACCCACGATCATGCCTTGCTCCGGTCCTGTCCGGCGGTGAGTATCCCTCGACCGGCGGTGGGTGCCAGCGTTGCGGTGGGGGGTGTTAACCAACCGCCCTGCGCCCTGCGGTCTTCGCCGGACGACCGACTTGCGTAAAATCGGGTGCTCCGCGGGAATATACACCAATTATTAAAGTCTGTTTGAATTGTTCGCGCCCGCGCACATGTGCGCCCGATCGGCCGGGGCACGGAGG